CTGGGACGGGTATCGGTCGTCGCACCTAGCCGTTGAACAGTTGCCGCCTTTGTGCGATTTCGAGCGCATGAAGTACATGTCTAAGAGAAGTTTTCCCGTGAGTCGCCTTTACAATAGACCGCCTGCCACTGCTAAAGCAGCGCCAGTATCTGGACCCTCTGGACCCTCAGTCTAGCCGGCATGTCTTCTGGGGAATAATGAGACTGTACAGTTAAGAGTGTCCGTTCTGTGTGCCATTTATTACTGCTGATGACGTGTAGAATGGGATTATCTCGTGGTCACGACTATGTTGACTTTGGAAGTAAGCGAAGCTGCCCTCACATCGGAGTCTGGTTATACTAAAGTGGGTCTGTAGGTGGTTGCGAGCTTTCTCACCCCCGTCGCGGTAAATAGGATATTGCAGTGCGCCTTGATCTCGGATTCCCTCGCGATTTCTGGTTCACGCTGTGTTGTAGTCATTTGGAAACTGGGGGCGAAGACGCCATAATCCGTCCGTGGTTCTGGATCTTGACCTTTTTCACAGGTCTTGTCGCGACTACTTTGACCTCCGGACGGTACTTCTTTGTTGTGGTACGCTACTATTAGCCAAGCAGCACATTGTACGAGCCACGCGCTGATGCAACCTATATCCCCTTCCAGCTACGACTACTCGCACAAGTGCAGAGCACACTCACGCAGCTCATCTTCGAGCATGCGCTGCGCATCAGGCTGAAGGCGGACGGTGGAATTTCCGCTGATAAGAAAGAAAACAGCAAAGACAAAGGCGGCACCGTTACGCTCACAGAGACGGGAGCCACTGCCGGGGACGAATCGGCTCGTGCAAGCGCCTCGAGCGAGGCGACATTGGGTGAGGGACCGAGCTCGTCAGCGGAAAGAGGCACGGAGACGTCCTCCAAGGGCAGAAGCGGTAAGACAACTACTGCCGCGGGCCGCAAGGACAGCAGCATGATTGGCAAGATCAACAATTTGATTTCGACGGATATCAACAGTCTCGAAGCTGGGAAGAACTTCATTCTAGTTGGTGCGCATCGAATGTTTGAGACATTATGCATTAAGACTTGTTCTGACGATGTGCGGTAGTTTGGTATACACCGCTACAGATCGCTGTGAGCATAGTGTTCTTGTATGCAGTCCTGGGATGGAGGTATGTCTAATTTATTTCGCTTGTTTCTGCTCCGCCTCAAGCATGAGCAGCGCATTGGTCGGAGTAGGCACCATGATTATCATGCTATTTATTCCTGGCTTCATATCAAAGTACTCTCACAATCTTCAAGTTAAGAAGATGGCGAAGGTAGGGCATCGGTCTATTTTTCCCCATTGAAATCGAAGTAATATTACTCTTATGTACAGAGCGACGCTCGAGTCGGCGTCATATCGGAAGGTACGGCTGTCACAGCAGTTGCATGTACGCGATACTCAAGTGAACTCTCCAGTCATGGGCAGCGCTATTCGGATGGTCAAGCTCTTCGGATGGGAAAGACGGATCAGCGAGCGCATAGACCAGAAGCGGCAGGAAGAGCTACATGCGCTTCGAAGATTCAGAGTTCTGTCACTTGTTAGCACCATCGTCAAGTGAGTAAGCTTCGTCCACACAATCAGCGTCTTAAATAAACCTTTTTAGCAACCTCATCCCCTTGATGACGATGGTCGTCACGTTTACAACCTATGTATGTTGTCTACGACTCCGAGTGGCATATCTACCCGAGCTTACTACTTTGACCAGGCCCTGGCTATGAAGGGCGAGCTTACAGGTAAGGGCACTCGTCTGACTCTACAATCACTCCTATTGCTCAGCTTGACTCGCAGCCTCGAGGGTCTTCTCATCTATGACAGTGTTCCAAACTTTACAAGGCCACTTCAGAGGGTGTACGCTGTGTATTCCCTGGTGTATCCAGGGTTCGTACTTTTGTTCTCGCATATTCTCACCTGTATATTCAATAAACTTTGCTTGTAGCGAAGGTAGGTCTGGACAGAATCACGGACTTTCTTCACAAAGTAACCAATATCTCTGCTCTCTGTCGTCACGAGCTGTCTCACCTATCACTTTGCCCAGACCGAGTTATTGGACTCTTACGCCGAATCCACACAAGAACAAAATACTCTCTCGGTCTCTCCCAACCCTGACATAATCGGTATCCGTGAAGCATCCTTCGCCTGGGACTCTGAACAGGCTGCGAATGTCACGCCCGGGTCCTCATGGCGCAGTTTCAAGCTGTGCGTCGAGAATGAGGTTGTATTCAAGCGGGGCCATATCAATCTGATTATCGGGCCTACGGGGTGCGGAAAGACATCCCTCCTCATGGCATTGCTTGGTCAGTCAATTCACAACATTTAGGCCTGCGCCCACTGAACTAGTGGCCAGGCGAGATGCACTACCTCCCGATGGGACCCGACTCGTACGTCAACCTTCCTCGTGAAGGCGGAGTCGCGTATCACGCACAAGAATCTTGGGTCTTGAATGAAACTATCCGAGTGAGCTCCGCAGGCGTTAAGACAGCTGTTTTTGCTTATAAGCCTGCCTATAGAATAACATCCTGTTCGGATCTCCCCTCGAGCAAGAGCGATACGATAAAGGTATAGCAATTTTTCCTCTCACTGTCTATGGGATATCTGATCATTTGTCTCCCCAGTTCTCTGGCAGTGCGCATTGGAACGAGACTTGTCTCTGTTTGATGCAGGAGATCAAACCGAGGTTGGTGAAAGAGGAGTAACGCTTAGGTATGTCGTGGCGGCGTGTAGTGGCGTGTGTTGCCATAACAGAGGCTGACGTGGCATCTAAGCGGCGGTCAGAAGGTAAGATTGATGATTGCTTATGGAAGATGCGTGCAGTTTGATCAAGCTGAAGTAGGCTCGTATCACACTTGCTCGAGCGATCTACTCGAAAGCGGAAATTCTGCTGCTGGATGATGTAAGTCTTTGGGATGCTGTGGAGTATGTTGCTGACAGAAATTTGTAGGTCCTTGCAGCATTGGATGTCCACACCGCCCAGTCAATTGCGGAAGAATGCTTACAAGGGGATCTGGTACAAGGGCGTACCGTCATCTTGGTTGTGAGTCCCATCGTACCTTTGGTGTTATCGGCATCGAAATAACAATGTATCATAGACCCACAACGTCGCGCTAGCGGCACCCATCGCAGAGTTCGT